TTGCCCTTATTTTCTCATCCTAGGTGTATCGCTAACCGAAGCATGTTTCCTAGATCTATGGTAACTCCCACTCACACTAGAATGACTTGATTATGCATGAGAATGATCACTCATTTTGTTTAAGAAATTTTTTCACAATGATTTGAGAAAATTGTTTTTACAAAAATGAAGTGACAAAGGTTTTCACAAAAGAATTTTTAAAGTGTATGTGTCGGACCCCTAAGACCAAACAAAGGTCAACTACTGATTAGAGACTCACCTAGATTTTTGCCATGGAAAATTAAATTCTAATTGCAAAAGTTTAACACAAAGTAAATTAGACGAACCCTAGGATGAAAGTCTAAGTGACACTTAATGAGCCTCTTGGGACACTTTCACAAGACTAAAGAGTATAATATTACAATGTTTAAAGTGGGAGATGGGATTGTACCTAAAACATTTTCCCAAGACACCCAAGAAAATTTAAAGTACAAAGAAAAATTACAACAAGACAAATCCGTGACAAAAATTAACAAAGGAAATTAGCGACAGAAATTTGTTGTAATAAGTCTTTTTTGACAGAAATGATTCGTGGCTATTTGGTTTTGTGATAGATTTGGAAAACTTTCTGCCACAACTTGAGGGCTCCTTTCCGTTTTGTGTTTACACTCTTCTTGTGTCCGGCTTTGGCTTCTAAGCTCCTTCAAAGACAACCTTCTCCTTTCTTTTTAACAACACCTAAGATGCTACCTTGAAGAAGAAGTGAGCTTCCAAGAGAACAAGGGAAAAACACAACGGTTATCTTGTCTAAAGATCTTTGAGATGCAAATAATCAAAACACAAGAAAAGCTTACACAAGGAATGGACACAATCAAATAATTAGATTTTTTGTTTGATAAAACTAAAGAAATCTAAAAACAAGCAAGAAAATTTGGCAAATTTTAAAAGAAGGCACTCAAAAGAAGCCTGAGAATGGATATAGAATGGATTACAAAAATAAAAGACTCAAGTTGATTCACTTATAGGCCCAATTGAAGCTTGACTGAATTATACACTCCCTTAGACTCTTTTAATACATGCAATTCTCAATTCTACTATTCTCTTAAGGGGTGTGGGACTTAATCAAGAGTTGCAAACATATCTTTCAAACTTTATTTTGACTAAGTCTTGACTTTTCTCTTTTAATTTTTCTTTTCAACTTCGCAATTTCAATTGTTTTCGTTCTTATGAGACTCAACCTCTTTTTTTTTCACTAATTCAATTTCAATTCAAATTGCATGGTATTATTTTCACATAAGTCCAAACATTGTCATGGCATATTATCAACAATTGATTCAACTTGCAAAATTCAAAAAACGTCTAGACTAGTGTCGGTTTGTACAAGAATTTTTATGTTTAGAATTTTGCCAATGATCAAATAGCAAAAGAATACTCAAATGTACAAACCACACATACACATAATTGGTTTGGTTCCTAGCATAAACTCGGTTTCAAATTTCTTCAACAAATTTTTTGTTTTTCTAACACATGTGGGACAACTTCTATGGAATTATGAACATATAAGGACTAAACATGACTATCTAATACAACATGGAAGATTATAAAATTGAAAGCTAAGTAAACAAAAATCTATGGCTACTCATACAACATATTAAAGAAAATTTCTAGACATACAATTGATTCAAGAAAGGAACTAAGCAATGAATCAATTATAAGAAAACAATTAAAGACTCCATGACCAACGACAGATGACTCAATTAAAGAGTCAAGCAATATCATACATGACCGAAAATTCAAAGACAAGAAGAAGGAAAGATGAAGGTACTTATCTCTTAAAGACCTTCATGCCTAGCTCATGATACCAACTTGATGGAAATAATATCCTCTTTCCACCAAAGAGATGCCCAAGTCCGCACCTCAGGCTCTCAAGTGACCGAAAATTGTTCCCCAAGTCTCAAAAGAAGACTTGGCACTAGTTCCTCCAAGGAAGGTTCCTTGTTTAAGAGAGAAGGAAAAGAAAATCTCCAAAGGACACTTGAAGTCAAGCCAAAATGGGGTACAAGCAAAATTGCAAGTTCTACACACTAAGCTTGGATTTCATTCAAATGTGCCAAAGGAGTTACACAAGGGGTTATATTTATAATGTTTCCCCTCTCATCCACTTCAAGTATTTAAAGATATGGGACTTATTCTACTCTTATGTGAGGTGCCAAAAATGGACTCTAGAAGTCCCACATTCTTCTTTTCTATGCCTCCCTAAGATTTTATATACCATATTGAACACAATGGGTTACAAGCACTTGTGTTGGTGCAGCCTTGACCATGTGAATGGGTCTTGACCGTGAGCTTGGTGTAGTCACCATTATGGCTTGGTCGAGTGACTTTTGGCTGCACCTTCTTGGACCATGATAACTTCTCTTTGATGTTGTCTTCTTCTTCTAAGTTCCATATCGAACAAGAGAAGGTTTCCTCAAGTGTTTATATACTTCAAAGCTTCTTTGAGGTGCATCTAAGATGGCAAAGAGGAGAGCTTGGTCGTATGGTGTCCTTGGTGTGCTCCTATGACTCGATTGGTCTTGGTTTGGTGCACTCCATGGGCTTGGTGTGCGGCTTGGCTTGTGTGTGCATCTTTGGGACCCTACAAAAAGGAAGAGAAGGATTTATTTAATACAAGTTTATTTTGAGGTGTTCAATTTAAACTCCATAAGAGGAGTATTTGTGGTGCTGCCTCATTCTCCTCTATCCTTTGGGCAATGGCCCTAGTGATAGGCCCAATATGCCCTTGTGGTCCTCCATCAGGATGACATTAACTACAATGAGACCTTATCTCCTATATCTAAAAAGGGCTCTTTGAGAATTGTATTGGCTTTGGTGGCTCATTATGATTTAGAGCCTCACTAGATGGATGTAAAGACCGCTTTTCTAAATGGTGAATTAGAGGAAGAAGCTTATATGGACCAACCTAAAGGTTTTGTTTCCATGAGAAAGGAAAACATGATGTGTAAATTAAAGAAGTCAATATATAGACTAAAATAGGCTTCTAGAAAATGGTATCTCAAGTTTAATGATATCATCACATCATATGCTTTTGTAGAAAACATTATTGATCGGTGTATCTACATGAAGGTCAGTGGGAGCAAGTTTGTAATTTTAGTCCTATATGTTCGCTAGTGGGAAAATGTGATTCTATGACGACTTTTTATGACGGTTGTAATCCAACCATCATAGTATGTAGGGTAGTGGCATTTTTATAATAATTTTATGAACTTTTTATGTTGGTTATTATGTAACCGACATGGTATGTGGGCAAATTCACTTTCTATGTCAGTTAAATTTCAATCGACATAGAAAGTTAGAAAGTGAACTTTCTATGTCGGTTTTAGTTTTACTGACTTAGAAAGTGTATTTTATGACAGATATTTGGGCAACCGACATAGTATACTTTGTTTTTCTTTGCCCTCGCCACTCCATTTCATCATTTCACCCATAGTAGAGCTCCCCATTCTCTCTGTCTCTACTGCGAACCTCATCGCCGGTGTACATCGCGCCACCTACCACTACTGTCATGCCACATGCCTCTGCCGTCGTGCCACCTATCACTGTCATCGCGCCACCTACCGCTGTTGTTGCCTCTTTACGTCACGCCAGCTGTCGCCGCTGTCGTTGGTGCCCTTTGTTGCAAGTTTTGATTCTAGGTCTTCAAGAGGTAAGTTTTTGTGCCTGCTCTAGCCATTTGAATGTGTTTCTGTAGCCATTCTAGGTTTACAGTTTGTATTATGGTCTATGATAATGCTGTCAATAGAGAGAAAGATCACATGTATCCTTTAGCCAATTTAGTTGCTAGATTCTAAGTCACTTTCTTTCTTAATTTTGTTCGGGATATTGTTGCCCTAATCCCTATTCCCAGTGAAGAGGTTCAAACAGTGGGACTTTCTATGCTAGTTAACAGTATAAACCAACATAGAAAGTAAGACTTTCTACATCAATTGTATGATTAACTGACGCAGAAAGTGATACTTTCTATGACGGTTCATAATAACAGACATAAAAAATGTTACTTTCTATAACCCCTGTATATATGTTGCCTCTTTAACCAACGTAGAAATCCCATTTTAATCGACATAGAAAGCCTTTTCTGCAGTAGTGGTTCATGATATTCTACTTGCTACTAATAATGTTGTCATGTTACATGATGTCAAGAAGTTTCTCTCTAATAACTTTGAAATGAGAGATATGGGTGAGACATCCTATGTGATATGAATAGAAATATTCTGTAACAGATCACAAGGATTGTTTTGATTGTCTCAGGAAACATATATTAAAAGGTATTAAAGAGATTTAGAATGGAAAAGTGCTCTGTAGGGATTGTTCCAATACAAAAGAGTGACAAGTTTAATCACATGCAATGTCTCAAAAATAAGATGAATTCTATTCCTTATGCATTAGTGGTTGGGAGTTTGATGTATGTCCAAACATGTACTCGACCAGACATTAGTTTTTTCATAGGAATGTTGGCTCGATATCAAAACAATACTGGAATAGAATACTAGAAAGCTACAAAGAAAGTTCTTACGTATTTACAAGACACGAAGAATTACATGCTCATGTATAGAAGGTCAAATCACCTTAAAGTGACTGGCTATTCAAATTCAAATTTTGCTGGATGTGTAAACTCAAGAAAATCCACATTTGGATACATCGTTCTTTTGGTTGGAGGAGCAGTATCATGGAAAAGTGTAAAATAATTCGTGATTGCAACTTCTACCATGGAAGTCGAATTTGTGGCATGCTTTGAGGCTACAATTCAAGTATTATGGTTGCAAAACTTCATTATGGGGTTTGGTATTATTGACAGTATAGCTAGACCAATGAGGATTTATTGTAATAATTCTGTAGTTATTTTCTTTTAAAAGAATGATAAATACTCGAAAGGAGCAAAACACATGGATTTGAAGTATATATCAGTTAAAGAGGAAGTACAGAAGCAAAGGGTGTGAATTGAGCATATTGGTACAAACTTAATGATAGTGGATTCATTAACTAAACGTTTACCACCCAAGACATTCATTGGCCATGTTGAAAGAATGGGTATAAGGGATAAGTCCTTGTTAACAATGTACTCAAGTACTTGGAATTCAATGGATGAAGACAAGGTTTCTCTGGATCCCATTGAATTTCATTCAGAAGAAGAGCCTTATAAAGATCATATGGATTCTTATCAAAGAAAAATAGGATTAACTGAGGTTGTTCAAACAGGTACAGGTCAGCTAAATGGTATTCTTGTAGCAATTGGTATTATGGATTTTCAGTTTATGGGAGGTGGCATGGTAGGTTAGAAAATCACTCGTTTGGTAGAATATGCTACTAATCAAATTTTACCCCTTATTCCAGTATGTTCGCTTGGAGGAGCGCGTATGCAAGAAGGAAGTTTGAGCTTGATGCAAATGGCTAAAATATTTTCTGCTTTATATGATTATCAAACAAACAAAAAATTATTATATGTATCAATACTTACATCTCCTACTACTTGTGGAGTGACAACTAGTTTTACACAATATGGTTGTAATGCTTCTACTGTTTAACACTTGTGATTTCTATAAGAGATGTTTTTGTTTGTTCTATCAATCACATTACTTGGTATACATTATTGTTTTATTTAGTGAAATGACAAAATGTATATTTGAAAGAAGATTAAAGATATATTACAATTTCATTAAAGTTAGATAATTTGTGATACATGGAAGGAATCTTGTTATTGGATAACTTGCAACCGCCATGATCCAATCTTCTAGCTTAAGTCAATGGATGATAATGACTTGTTAAGTTCAATGTATAGGGTGCACTTATAATTTAATGTTGAATCTTCAAGTCATTACATAAGCCAAGTGGGAGAATGTTAGATTATTTTAATCTAATATTGGCTCATATAATTTATAAAATAACTTTAACATAAAGTTTTTTAATGTGATGATTATTCGATTATAAATGCATTAAAGTTATGGGAATTATTTTAGATTTACTAAAATTAATTGCATCTCTTCTAACTTCATTAAGAGTATTTTGGTATTTTAATAAATCTTTTAAAATACTACCTAGAAGTTACATTACAATTTTTTTTGTGTGGAAGAATAAAAGATATGTTCCTAAGCAATATAAGGCAGGTGACTTTGACCAAAGATGGATTGTACTAGGCGCATTCTATATCATCAAGAAAGCCATAAAAGAAAAAAAGGGAAAATATCCATAAAAAGATCTTTTGTAATGGATCTAGGTAAGTTCTTGAACACCTCTAACAATAAATTTGTGAGAATCATAGATCCTAAGGTTCCTATGAAATAGAATAGTTTCTTGAATTGAATTAGAGTATTTGAAACTTCAAGTTAATACCTAGTCAAAGTGATGAAGATCTTATTGAATCATTTAAACGAAGATCTTATTGATTTGATGAAGTCAAAATAAAGTCAAAGGCTACTTTGTTGCAGTCAAAGGTCACTTAGATAAAAGGGTACAGTGATTAGTGAATCTGCATCTTTACTTAGGTATAATCATTTTTATCTCTCTGCTGCATGAGGTTTCTTCATTTAAAATATTTTGCAATTGCCTCTAAAACATGTTTTAAACTGTTAAAAACAAAGTATTTGGTTAAATGGTTTTTAAGCAAATGTTTTAACTGATATTATATGAGCCTTATCAGTTAAAATGTTCTTAACACTTTTGTAACAGGTTTTTAACTGATATGTTTTTGAAATAATCGATTATTTTCATTAAAAGGTATTTTGAAAACCTTACGCCGATATTTTAATTGATATAGAATTGAAATAATTAATTAAAATGACTTAGAATATTTTGAAAAGTGTTACTGCAGAATTTTAATCGATACAAACTCGAAATAATCGATTAAAATAACTTGAAGTGTTTTGAAAGTTGTTCTGTCAGTATTTTAATCGATACAAATGTGAAATAATCGATTAAAACAACTAAGAGATTTTTCCAGAATGTTTTAATCGATTAAAACAAGTATGTTATCAGTTAAAATAACTTAGAGAGTTTTATGAAATCTTTTGGCATAATTCTAATCGATTAAAATGCGTTTCAATCGATTAAAATAACTAAGAGGATTTTTTCCAAAGTATTTTAATCGATTAAAACATATTTTCATAAGTTAAAATCACTTAGAAAGATTTATGAAAACCTTTGGTAGTATTTTAATCAATTAAAAGGTGAAACAATCGATTAAAACAATTTGAAATTTTTTTTACAAAGAGTTTTTATTGATATAAACGTTGTCATATCAGTTAAAACAAATTTGGAAAACGATCAAGAACATTTTAACAGATTAAAAGAAGTTTTAACAGATTAAAACAAGTCTTTTAACAGATTAAAAGATTATTTTAACAGATTAAATAAACCAGTTGTTTGGAAAATCTTCTATATAAATAGAATTGCTTGAAAATTTTAAAAACATCTTTTAGCATTCAATCAAGCAATCATAAGTGCTACTTTCAAGAGAGAATCGCACAAGTTTTGTGAAGTTCTTTCTTGAGGCAATTTTTGCATTCTTTTGGTGAAGAAACTCATTCTGCAGAGCTTCATAAACCTGGTTTGAGCATTCTAGTTTCTTCTCTTTGTTTCTTTACTTTTCTTTTCTACATTGTGTGTGCTTGGAAGTGTGGGCACTGGTTTCTGTGGCTGGAATTTGGCTGCAGGGTTGTTGAAGAACTGGAAGTTGGTTCTTGGTGAAGGTTTAGGTGCAAGGACTGGAATTGTGGTTCTTGTGGTAGATTGAGTGTGTGATTGAAGTTGTAATCTGTAAAACGTTCAATCTAGTGGAACCCAGCTGGAATTTGGTTGGAAACTGGACGTAGCCCTGGGATTGGGTGAACCAGTATAAATCTTGGTTGTATCTTTCTAAACCTTTCTCTCTTTAATTCTGTCACTGCCTTTACTTTGATTGTTTGATTCAAGAATTGGTCAGAACTCTTAATCTTTGAAATAGATAATCTGTAAATTGTGAAAAACTTTCAAAGATCAATTCACCGCCCCCCTCTTGATCTCAGCCTACTTTTCTAACAATTGGTATCAAGAGCAAGGGTCTTGAAAAATACTCAAGACTTTCGGTCCAAATCCTTCATGGCTGAAAACAAATTAATTTTTTCTGAGGGAGCTTCTATTAATAGACCTCCACTGTTTTGTGGTACAAATTACTCTTTTTGGAAGATAAGAATGAAGATCTTTATTGAATCTATTGGTATAAATGTTTGGAATATTATTGAACAAGGAACTTATGTTCTTAACAGAGAATGATCTAGTTTAAATGATTGTGAAAAGAAACTAATCCAAGATGATTGTACTGCTAAGAACATCATCACATCTGCACTTAACAGAAATGATTTTTTCAGGATATCTCATTGTCAAACTGCTGCACAGATGTGGAAAACTCTTGAATTGGCTTATGAAGAAACAACAGAGATATGTTTGATGGTCAATTCGGATTCTCCCATGACCAGTGTAAGTTCTGACTCAACAACTACTATGAATTACAGTTCATTACAAGATGCTTTTTATGAAATGCATGAAGTAGCTAAGAAATTAGAAATTGAAAACAAAAGATTAAAAAGCATGAATAGTTTATTAGAAAACAAAATCACTCTTCTTGAAAAGAAAATTGTTGATGAAGAAACTAAGAATGAAAATCTGGAAATAGGTAATAATTCTGATTGCATGTGTAATGATAAAGATTGTAAAAATTGTCCTGAGTTACAAAAGAAATTAACATATTTAATAAAAACTGCATCTAAACTTGCACAAGGAAAAACCAATCTTGGTATGATACTTGATTCTCAAAAATTGGTTATTGATCGTGGTGGTATTGGTTTTACACCTCTTGTTGGAAAGAAAATTAGAGCATTTAAAAACTATTTTTCATATAGCAAATTTGTTTCGTCTCCATTTATTACATGCTTCTATTGTATGAAAGGAGGTCATTCTATTAAATTTTGTAGAATCAAGAAGTATGTTATTCCTAGAGGTAGAATGAAGTGGATTCCCAAAAATTCAGTTCAAATAACTTGATTGGACCCAATGATTATATAAAGGGTACCAGAAATATGTTAAATCTGTTTTACAGGAACAAAATCTGGAAGTCCCTTGGTATCAAATTAGCAAATTTTGATTCTGGATTCATGGACTGTGTATTTTAATTGATATAAAACTATTTTAATCGATTAATTTCACTTACAGAATATATCAGAAAAGTTGTCTGTACAATTTTAATCGATTAAAATACGAATTAATCGATTAAAATGCTCTCAGGATTTTTAGTATGATTGTTTTAATCGATTAAAAAGGATTTATATCAGTTAAAATCATTAAAATGACAAATTTAACCGATTATTTCTCGATTCAATCGATTATTATTCTGATATATTTCTTCCAAAACTAGATTAATCGATTGAATATCAAATTAATCGATTAATATTCTACTTCAAGTGCAGAATTAATTGATTATTTTTATTCTATATCATTTTGTACTACAACTACACTAATTTCCTTTTCAGGCAAAGCAAACGAAGATCTCTGGTACCTTGACAGCAGTTGTTCTAAACATATGATAGGTGATATTACAAAGTTTTACAATTTAAAACCAAAAAATGGTGGTGTAGACCCCAAATCTTGCCCGACCTCATAATAAAGACTAGAAGACCTTCTATTCGAAGATGGATGAAGCCTAAGAAGCCACTAGGAGAGACTATTAGGCCCCATATTAGGATAGGAAGGATTTTCTGCATGTAAATAAGGATTTTCACCTTTTAGGGTCGAGACCGCCGTCTCGCATTCGGGACGGCCATCTTGCCTTGCGAAAGTGGCGAGACGGCCGTCTCGCCACCTGCGAATGGCGAGACAGCTCTCCCGGTTGGCGAGATGGCCGTCTCGCCACCTGCGAATGACGAGATGGCCGTCTCGACCTTGTCAGACGAGACGGCTGTCTCGACCTGACAGGCGCAAATCCCTATAAATAGTCGCACCTTCACCCTCATTTCACACAGTTCTTCCGTTCTCTCTCTTGTCACTTCCTCAAATTCTCTTCCTAGAACCCCTCCGAAGCACTTCTGGAGTTTTCTGAGAGTTTTTATAGCATTTTTGAGAGGTTTCCGGCGCTGTAAAGAGTGAAGGGCTGCCAAAAAGCAGCCTAATTTTCAAGAAATTAATAGAAAGCTTGCCTCGGAAGTTTCTACATTCTCTCTCTCTCCTTTACTGCTTTATTTTTAATTGCGCAGTAGATATTAGGGCCATGTAGTCGTAATTTTAAAATTTCGTAAATAAAGGG